TTTAATCTATTTTATCAGACCCATCTATTCTTAGTGACTTTGGGAAACTCTGGCAGAACTTTTATTTTTGAACAAATAAGTTTTCACCTTTGCAGTTGTCAGTCCATCTTAAGGCTAGTGGATAGGCATTGGGGCAGTACATAGAGAATTATGCTTACTCTAGGAGTGATGTATCTAGAATGTATTCCCTTTGTCAGATGTTGTTATCCTAACTTCTTTAACACCCCAAGGAATTATTATTTCAAAGATAGTGTTTGGGTTAAATTATAGACCTATCCCCATGGATGACAGTTTCGTGGGAGGAACATTTCATATCTTAAAAAATTTCAATTTACATTTTTTGGGACAAACTCAGGCTAGTTTCCATTTGGCATGTAATGGTGTTTGTGTTATCCACAACACTCCTTTCCATTAGCAGAATTAATCAAGGGTTGATTACTCCTCCTCCACAAAGCCACTTGGTTTCTCAGTTTTTCCATCTTCCATCACTTCACATGCCTTTGACACAGCTCATGATTAATCACTCACTTTAAATATTTTGAACAACAGAACTGCTGCCTTTCTCAACCCTGGGAGGGCTGCCATCACTTCTAGCATACACGAAGAGGTATATCACAATAGTCTCAGGGTCTCCTGTAGCTCCGAGGTAATTTTTCACAGAAATGTATTTTAAAATCCGAGAGCAGTTGCATACAACTTTTCTTCTAAATTGATGAGCGATTTAATGTCTTTTTAATGTGAGAAGCCATTTGCATTGTCCTGAAATGTTACAGCCTCTAAAACAATCACACAATTGCACTAGGCTCCATTTGTTCCCAGATTTCATGTGCTATAGTAGCAGTGAAGGAAAAATCATACTCATTTCTCAAACACTCTTGGCTGTTTCTGTTGCTACTAATGCAAAGCTTTGGTTTTTAATTTGTTGGTTTCTGCAGAGTACAAATCATATTATTGGCTTTAAATGATGATAGATGCTATTATTTTGTATATGTGAGAAAACAAAACAAGATTGTAGTGTGAAAATTCAATTTTAAATCACTTGATTAATTTATTTTAGTGGCATATAGCAAAGACTATTCTTTATTATGCTGCAATAAGCCAATTTACTGTAAATCAGCCTAACAAATGAAATGCCTAGAGGTGCCTTATAAATTGAAGTACTGTTTTTGTTGTAGTGAATATAAATGACTTAAATGCAAATTCCTAAGACAGTTTAAAAATATTTCTAGGAACTTATGTATATAAATCACTGGCCCAACTTTCATATTCGATTATATTAAGATTTTGTTTGTTTATGTCTGTCTGCTCAATTCTGAAATTGTCTACTTTTGAACTATAGATTTCCTTCCATTTGGTGGATAAGGAAGGTTGTTCATGTTTCATTCTCAAAGGCCATGCTATAGACTCAATGTTTGCATCCCTCTAAAGTTTATATTTTGAAACCTAATTGCCAATGTGATGGTATTTAGAGGTGGGGCCTTTGAGAAGTAATTAGGTCAAGAGGGCAGAGCCCTCAAGAATGGAATGGAATAAATACTCTTACATAAGAGGCCCCAGGGAGCCCCTTCCTTCCCCTGCCATCATGCAAAGACACAGCAAAAAAGACCACCATCTATGAACCAAGAAGCAGGATCTCTTCAGACACCAAATCTCGTAACACTTTGGTCTTAGACTTCCCAGCCTCCAGAACTGTGGGAAATAAATTTCTGTTGTTTATCAGCCACCCAGTCTGTGGTATTCTATTATATCAGCATGAACTAACTGGGACAGGCCAGAGATAGCTTAAATAAGAGGGTGGCAAAGCTTTCATAAAAATCTGAGTTGACAATGAATTGCAATGTAGTGTCAACATAAGAAATGTCTAAACTTGTAGTTAAGGAAACTGAGGTCCAGATAATTTTAGTGACTTGTTCAAGATGACATGTCTGGTCAAGATGATTAAGACACCTTAACTTTGGAGCCATTGCCTTGTACTACCTCTAATGGGAAGGCAATTATTTTGATTTCCAAAAGTATAGGGAAACCCAGCCGGGCATAGCTCAGTGGTTGAGCATCAACCTAGGATCCAGGAGATCGATATTCGATTCCCAGTCAGGGCACATGCCCGGGTTTTGGGCTCCATCCCCAGTCAGGGGCATGCAGGAGGCAGCCAATCAATGACAACTCTCTCATCATTGATGTTTCTCTCTCTCCCCCTCTCACTTCCTCTCTCTGAANTTTTGAACTATAGATTTCCTTCCATTTGGTGGATAAGGAAGGTTGTTCATGTTTCATTCTCAAAGGCCATGCTATAGACTCAATGTTTGCATCCCTCTAAAGTTTATATTTTGAAACCTAATTGCCAATGTGATGGTATTTAGAGGTGGGGCCTTTGAGAAGTAATTAGGTCAAGAGGGCAGAGCCCTCAAGAATGGAATGGAATAAATACTCTTACATAAGAGGCCCCAGGGAGCCCCTTCCTTCCCCTGCCATCATGCAAAGACACAGCAAAAAAGACCACCATCTATGAACCAAGAAGCAGGATCTCTTCAGACACCAAATCTCGTAACACTTTGGTCTTAGACTTCCCAGCCTCCAGAACTGTGGGAAATAAATTTCTGTTGTTTATCAGCCACCCAGTCTGTGGTATTCTATTATATCAGCATGAACTAACTGGGACAGGCCAGAGATAGCTTAAATAAGAGGGTGGCAAAGCTTTCATAAAAATCTGAGTTGACAATGAATTGCAATGTAGTGTCAACATAAGAAATGTCTAAACTTGTAGTTAAGGAAACTGAGGTCCAGATAATTTTAGTGACTTGTTCAAGATGACATGTCTGGTCAAGATGATTAAGACACCTTAACTTTGGAGCCATTGCCTTGTACTACCTCTAATGGGAAGGCAATTATTTTGATTTCCAAAAGTATAGGGAAACCCAGCCGGGCATAGCTCAGTGGTTGAGCATCAACCTAGGATCCAGGAGATCGATATTCGATTCCCAGTCAGGGCACATGCCCGGGTTTTGGGCTCCATCCCCAGTCAGGGGCATGCAGGAGGCAGCCAATCAATGACAACTCTCTCATCATTGATGTTTCTCTCTCTCCCCCTCTCACTTCCTCTCTCTGAAATCAATAAAGATATATTTAAAAAAAAAAAAATAGTATAGGGAGACAGAAAAGGCTATGTTATAATTTAAAGCATCTTGTTAAACTTTGTTATGATAGCCCCAATTTCAGTGTGTCCAAACATTGTAGAGAATATAGCTATAAGCCACACTCAATACCAGACTTGAATGGACAGAGCTGATTATTAATTCCTACAATTTTGCATCAGTCCTTGCCTTGCCAGGATGACTCCTTAGTATGGTGGAATATTCACAGGAGAGCTGGCCCAGGAGCTGGGAAGCCAGGGTTCTAATCCTGGTGCTGCCACAAACAGTCTTTGTGATCTTGGCTGTGATCTTAACATCCTGGGCCTTTAATTTTTTCATCTTGAAATGTTAAGAAATGAACTAGAGAATCTCCAGGGTCCCCACCCACTCTGTGATTCTCTCTTAGCTTTGTTGTTTTGTTTCCCTACCACATTAGAAAATGATTTCATAAAGTGACAGAAAATTTAAAGAAGTACTTTTAGAAATGCAACCAAATCACTTTTAATATTTTCAGAGGCAAGGAGAGGAAATATATACTGAAGCCCTAGGAATTATACATTAAGAGATTTTTCCGCTAACATTATAAGCATGCACATATGTTAGCTGTTTGTGAAAAAATTCAAATCTGTGACTCTAGTGGCTAGCATCTTTATTTAAAAACTAAGGTAAGATCGAAATAAGTTAGTTCAACATTGTAAGTATGAAGCAAGTACATAACTAAGAGAGGTGACATCTTTAAAAGAAACTAACTCATGAAATAGTTTCAATATGTACCTTCTTGAAAGAAATTAAAGATCTGGGAGAACACAACTAGACAAAACAGAAGACTGATACAAAGAGGATTCTAGAAAACTGCAGGTTTTCCTTTTCCTCATGGCTAATTCTTTCTAAAACAGCTCTTCATGTACACAAATATATTTGTAGATATAAGGTAAATGTACTTAATAAGTTGCTGAAATTGCTTTCAAACCTACTTTCAAACCCCCCTCTATTCCAAGGAGTGAATGCCAGCCTGGAGAGCAGGGTGACACAATTTTGTTTTGTTTTACTTTCCAAAGGGAGTTCTGCAGGAGCCTGACAGTGTTTGTTCAATTTGTTTAAATGATGGAAATAGATGTGGGCTGATTTCCACAGGCCCACATTAACATTTCTTGCTTTTGTCTCTATCCAAAGGGCTTGGTAGTAATAGCTTGGAAACCTTCATCCCTCTCTGTACCGAGCAATTCGTAGAGAAGCATCCCGTCCCAGTGCTCATGTGCCAGCGGGGAGGGGAGGTGCATTGGAACTGACGCCCTCCCTCCCGCGGACTGACTAGTGTTGCTGGGGCAGCCTCGTCAGCCATGCTTTTTCAGTGTTTTCCTATCCCCTACCTTTCTGATCTTACTTTCCTTAAGGAAGCCATTGTTGAGTTTCTTTCTAACTTCCAGGCATGGTACTAGACACTGAGGCTACAATCATGAAAAAGATGAGGGCCCAAGAGTCTAGCAGAGGAATGCTGCATTGAGTACTTTCACCCACTCCCATCTCATTTCTTCCCTCTGGGTGTAGGTATCCCCATCTCTTAGAGGAAGGGATTGCCGAGAGGATTTCTAAGATTATTAAACACAAAGCATCCATGTGCCTATAAGTTAAGTAAGACTAAATAAAACTTATGGAACCAGAGCTAGGGTACAGGGTTGAATGGGGCTGGGCTCCTGGCTCCACCACTCTCAATTCTTGCACTCTCAAGCTGGAGAGCCGAGATCAGTGGGGTCTGATGCTCCCCGAGCCCACAGTGGCTTGCAGCCTGAGCATGTTGTCCAGACACGGAATTTTTAGATATCTTGGTCCTTCAGGAAAGGGTAGGCAGCCTAAAATGTCCATTTCTCTTTATTCGTTTATTTTGCTGAAGGAGCAGTAGCTGGGCCCCAGGCCTTGCACGGTGCAGTCAGTATTGTCTCTGTTACACTTGCCGCAGTGACATTCAGTGGCTACTAGGTATGTGTACACGGAGTCTGCATGGTGAGCACAGCCAGGCACTCTCACCGTCTCATACGCCAGTTCCTTGAAGGTACATACTTTTTGCATATTGCGCCTGGTTGGGTCCTTGTACACCAGATCCTGAGTAGAAGAGTAGAGTTAGGTTACAGTATTCTGGGAGTTTCTACTTAGCTTAATCAAAGCGAGACAGGAATTTAATACTGCTTGCTCTAACATTCACCTACTGAAGCTCACTTATGAAATTCCTAACTGAGGGAACAGGATCTGAGAAATGATCTACCTCTGTGCTATACCATGTTCCTGCTTCTGGAAATCTTACAGAAAATATGATTCATTCCTTTTCCTACTCCTTATGTCTACATCAAAATATTAATTATTTCTCAAACCACAGAGAAACTTTGAATTTCAGTACAGAAAAATGATGAGCAAGGGAAACATGACAAATCTTTTAAGCCGATTTTTTGTACTTAGTCGAGAACTGTGCTACTGATGACTTATACCATAAAACACTGAAGTTTAATTTCTCAGAAAATGTTTCTAAATACATTGTCCTTGTGTTTTGATAGAAAGTCAAAGAGACATAATATGGAATGTTAATGCTTAGCTTGGCATGACTATGAAGGCTCACGTAAGATTATAAATATTCCCTGGTCTTGTAGGCATTTCCTCCCTTAAGTACTTTATATTTTGTAGTGCTCTCAGTGCCAATGAATACATGGTTTGCATATAAGAACTTTTAATCCAGGCAAAACAGGTGTGTCCCAACACTTTCTAATAAAAGTTATTTGCACTGAGGGAAGACATTCGCACCGCTGTTTTATTTATTTCAGTATCATGCTACCAAGTCTATATCCTAAGCAGGTACAATAAACTGTGCAATCAGCGGGGGTTGATCACACTTATTTGCCACCCAGTAAAGTATATCTCATGAAAAAGTTGCTATTTTCAATTTCAGTTTATAGAATAGAATTCTGCATAGAAAACCAGGTGCTATAGGGGACAAAAATAAAGAAAAAGTAGAAACTGTCTCCTTACTTGGATTGATGCAAAGGAACTGTGTGACTATGATTTAGTGGGTTTATGCCTCTGTGCCTTGGTTTTCTCAACAGTATAAAGAAGTGAGTGAGTTTGCAGATTCATTTGGTTCTAATAGTCTGCAAGGGTTGGTTTTGTTCTCAGGCTCTTTGCTGGCATTTGTATTCAGGAGGGCCAGTACAACCCTCAATGTTTTTAACATGGCTGCTTTTATTTGGCTTAGAGACATGCTTTGGTACTATGTCTATTGCAAAGATATGGCTTCAGTTACATAGAAATGGAAATACATAATATATATAAAAATACATCTACATAGAAATTAGCTTTTGGGGAAAATTGTAGATCTTCTATTACTAAATATATGTGTGCTTATACATATGTAAACTCTAGCATAGAATTCCTTTTTTTAAAAAATGCAGAGTTAGCATATTACCAAAATGATCAGATCAAATCTGAGACTTCCCTAAATTTACTCTAATCAAATCCAAACCCAAATATCTAACTGATATCATGGTAATTAACCTTAATCATAACACAGACAGTATTGGCTAAAGAACTCATGGCTATTATGTGGGAAACTTAAAATACGGATGAAATGAGAATTACTGAAAATTGTCTTCTGCAGACCCTCAGCACCCTCGCTTCCAGCCAAGCAGAGTTCCTACCCGGGTGTAGCAGTAGCCCGCACACCAGGTGGTATTGATGCTAAGGCAGAAGCGGCATTCTTCCTTCTCCACTGTGATGGTGATGTTGGTCAGCTCACAGCCGTTGCAGCACATTGCTTTCCAGCAACAGAAAAGAAAGCACAACTGGACCGACTTCATCCTGGACTAGGAAGCGAAAATTAAGGCCCATGAAAAACCAAAAAAGCAAAGAGCTATAATCATTATGTAAGTTGACCAAATCAAAATGAATCGGTCTACTCTTCTGTGCCAGTCACATTTGCTCCAGCAATTATTTTTCTTCCCTTCCCTTCCCTTCCCTTCTCTCCCTAATTTCTTGAACAAATAGTTCTTCTTACCCTCCTCCTCTTTCATTTTTTTTTGGTCAAAGTGGAAACATTATAGGTCAAAACTCCAATATAATGATATAAGTAGAGCAGTATTTAAAGATTAGAGTATTACTGCTGACAGTCTTAAAGTGATGACTCTGAAGCAAGTCATGGTGATCATCATATTTGTCCCTTCATTATCATTTTAAAGATTATTGTTGTTTAAAAAGAAAAAGAAAATTCTATACTACAAAGTTAGTTCATCATTTTTAGCATCTCATAAATATTTTCATTTGCTTTTGTTCACCTTTGTTTATTTCAGAGACCCGGCAATTGGTCTATAAACTTGATTGCTTGCTAGCAGGGAGTACACTCTATTACCCATATTTAAGAAGCCAGGTTGACAAGCACAAATTTCCTATGTGATGGTAGTTAAAAAGGTCTAGATTTGTTCTTCAGATCCTGAAAAATCCGTAATTTCAAAAGTAACCATCACCACTTGATAACTATAGATGCTGAGACTCACCTGTGGTTGGCTGCCTTTTCTGGGGAAAGCTGTAGACTGAATTCAGTCTCAGTTCGCCTTTTATACAAAATTGTGTGCAACTAACACCTTGTGGATTTGTCAGGTATTAGTACGATCAATGTTAGCCTGAAGCTTTCTGTAAGTGAATCGGTGTTTAAATAGATGGGGAGATCAAGACTTACTAAAGTAGTCTAAACAATGTAGATTAAGCAAAATAATGTTAGCAGAGATGATGATTTTGTACAAATTAAATTTGATATAGTTGCACACCCACTCCTTTACCTTGTCAGATTAAATGTGACTCTATCTAGGTTTTTCTTTTGTATCCTTAACTTGGAGAATTCAGAATCCTTCCCAAGTATTGCTTTGGTACTATTGAGGAGGTGCTTCAAAATGACATGGTTATTTAATAAATTGCTTTGTGATCATGTTGAAAACTGTAAGGAAAGAAACAAACAGAAAGTGTTTCATGATCTGACTCCTATCTAAAATATAAACCATATTTACTTTTACCTCCTGCATCCAGATTTCCTTATCTCAAATGTTATTTTTTGATGCTTTACTTTTAATTCTCTAAATATTCTGCTGACTTATTTCTCTAGATCTTTGCATGTGCACTGTTTGTTCTGCCTGAAAAGTCCTTACTTTCTCCCCGTGTTCTCTAACACCACTCCCAGCCTTGGCAAATTTGTCAGCTTTTAACATTACCTGCCAGAGTTTTCAATGGGAGACAGAAGAGAACTTTAATCACCATCTTCTGTTTGTAATCATTTATTTACCTCTGTTTCTCCCAGTAGACTATGAGCTCCTTAGAGACAGGGATTGATTTGTTTAATAAATATTTATTAAGTAAGCAGTGTGTCTGGAGCAAAGGAACAACAGTGGAAATATTAGGATATGATGTCAGAGATATAACAGGAGTGAAATCATGCAGGACCTTTAGGCCAATGAAAAGACTGGTTTAGACTGTCTGTAAGAGGGGACCAATTGGAAGATTTTGAGTAGAGGAGTGACATGATCTGATTTAGGTCTAAAAGTATCCTTCTGGCTGCTGTGTAGGGAACAAAAGTAGAAACAGGAGACCAATTAGATGCTATTGAAGCAACCCAGGTGAGAAATATTTGTTCAGACTAGTGTGGTAGCAATGGAGGTAACAAGACATAATCTGATTCTGGGTATATTTTGAAAGTAGAGCCAACAGAATTTTCTGATGGATGAATAGTGATTCTGAGAGAAAGAAAAGAGACAATGATGACTCTAAAGATTCTAGCCTGAACAACTTGAAAGATAACTTGCTATCAACTTAAATGGAATGGTAGTAGATGTAGTAAGTTTTGGGAAAAGATAAGGAGTTCAGTATGGACATGTTGAGCTTGAGGTGTCTTGAAGATGTAAGTAGAATGCTGAATCTGAGTTTTGGGAGAAATAGTACATTGGCTGAAGGTATAAATTTGGGGAGTCATTGACATGAGCCTAGGAGAGTGGGTGTAAATGGAGAAGATAAAAGGACCAAGAGTTGAGCCAACATCAAGAGGAAAAGGATAAGGTGAAGTTTTTTTTCTTTCTTTTTCCAAAGGAAACTGAGAAGGGCCATTGAGGAAAGAATGGAATGGAGAGAAGTCAAGTAAAGAGAGTGTATCGAGGAGTGACAACTGTGCCAAATGCTGCTGACAGGTTAAGTAAGATGAGGACCATGAATTGTGCAATGCACATAGTAATGTAAAGGTCACTAATGTCCTTGGCTAGGGAAGTTCTTTTGGAGTAAAGGGATGAAAACCCTGATTAGTGTGTGTTTAAGTGATTGGCAAGATATAAATATTTAAAAAGTTGATATAGGCGGCTTTTCCCAGGAGTTTTGCTACAAAGATGAGCAAAGAAATGGGTGATTTGGTGAAGTGGAAGTGGGGTAAAGATCATTGTCTTTTGATTGTTATGTTTTAAGATGGGAGAAATAACTGCATGTTTATGTAGTGATGCAAATGATTGAGTAGAGAGTGAAAAATGATGATGTTGGAGGAAGAGAGAATTTCTGGAGAGTTCTTGAGTAGGTAAGAAGAGATGGATTTTAGAGCACAAGTGGAGGGATTGACTTTAGACAAGAAAATGGACAGCTCATCCTAGTATCAGGTGGGAGGTAGATGTGGGTGCAGATGCTGCTGGTTAGGGAGGTGTGGTGGGCATAGATGATGGTGATTGGGTAGGTGTGATGAATGCAGATTCTGTGGATGGGTAGGTGTGGTGGGTACAGAGGATGGTAGGTGGGGAGATAGGCTCTGTGCAAGCTCTCCTGTGATTATTTTTATTTTTTCAGTAAAGTAAGATGTAGATCATTATCTGACAATAAGGATAGTAGATGAATTGCCCGGGATTTGTGGAGAGAGGAAAAGATTGGAGTAGTTGCCTGAGACTGGGAAAGGGATTGAGTCAGCAGTGAGATAGTAGTATAATAGGTTACTAGCATTAAGGGTCCACTTGAGGTTTATGGTAAAAAATTTAAAACAAAACCACTCATGTACATCTTTCTTTTGCCCAATTTAACAGCAAGGCTTCAGGCAAATGGGTAACAAATAGTTGGATTTATCCAGGATTATGATTTTTTTCAAATGTGTGACAAAGACAGAACTTAGCAAAGTATCCAACACTGAAAGTACTAATTCAACATTTATGTAAGTGATACCTGGAATTTAGAAATATTTTGAGAGAGATCCAAGATGGTGGCAGAGTACGTGGAAGGTATACTCACCTCCTCCCAAGCCCAAACTAGAATTACAACTTAATTATAGAGCAGTCATCCTGAATGACTAATTGAAGTCTAGCTGAAGAGAGGTCTTATAACCAAGGACTTACAGAAGAAGCCATTTTGAGACTGGGAAGGATTCCAGAGGGATGTCTAAGCTGAGGGGTTCCCCCTGAGAAGCATGGGGTCTAAACCCCAAGCCAGGTTTCACATCAAAGAGCACCAGAGCTGGGGAGAGGTGCCCACATAACATCTGCCTGTGAGAAGCAGTGAGGTTTCTGTCCACCAGGGAGAAATGTATACATGGAACATTTTCCAGGATAGACCAGATGTCAGGCCACAAAACAAGTCTCAATAAATTTAAGAAGATCGAAATCATATAAAAAAATCTTCTCTGACCAGAGTGATATGAAACTAGAAACCAATTACAAAAAAAAAACACTGAAAAACTCACAAACATGGAGGCTAAAAAACATGCTACTAAACAATGAATGGGTTTACAAGGAGATCAAGGAAGAAATCAAAAGATACCTTGAGACAAATAAAAATGAAAACACAACGAACCAAAAATCTATGGAACACAGCAAAAGCAGTTCTAACAGGGAAATTCATAGCAAAACAGGCTTATCTCAAGAATCAAGAAAAATCTCAAATAAACAATCTAACCTTACACCTAAAGACCTAGAAAAAGAACAACAAACAAAGCCCAGAATGAGTAGAAGAAAGGAAATAAGATAGATCAGAGCAGATATAAACAAAATAGAGTTGAAAAAATAACAACACAAATGATCAGTGAAACCGAGAGCTGGTTCTATGAAAAGATAAACAAGGCTGAAAAACTTTTAACCAGACTCATCACGAAAAAAAGAGAGAGGACCCAAATAAACAAAATAAGAAATGAAGGGGAGAAGTGACAACTGACAACACAGAAATACTAATTATAAGGAAATACTACAAACTACCACATGCCAACAAATTATACAATCTGGAAGAAATGAATAAAATCCTAGAAACATACAATCTTCTAAGACTGAATCAAGAAGAAACAGAAAATCTGATTACTACCAATGAAATCAAATCAATAATAAAAAAAACCTCCCTGTGCATATACTCAATGACCTAGATTCTTCTTTCATTTATAAATAATTTGTCTTCAAGTCATTCCTTTATGTTCAGATTTAAAAATAGGAAATTATGTACATGCTCATATCTTAATAAATTACTTGTCTGTTATGGTCTGGTATCCTTTTCTTTTTCCTGTGTTTATATATGTTTTGTAATGTAAATGTAAAACATCTTCATCAGCTCCCTGTGGCTGGTTCTGGGGAAGGAGTGGCAGGCTCCACATCCACCCACAGAGGCAGCAAGAAGCCCCTGAAACAGCCCCAGAAGCAGGCCAAGGAGATGGAGGAGATAAGGCATTCAAGCAGAAGCAAAAAGAGAAGCAGAAGAAGCTCGAGGAGCTAAAAGCCAAGGGTTGGGGAAAGGCCCCTGGCCAAAGGTGGAATTAAGAAATCTGGCAAAAAGTGAGCTGAACCTTGTGCCTGAGGCAATGGTGATTCTCAATTCC